ATATGAACAATGTGAGACCAATCGGCACTCACACTGTGATATGAACAATGTGAGACCAATCGGTACTCACACTGTGATTTGAACAATGAGAGACCAATCGGCACTCACACTGTGATATGAACAATGTGAGACCAATCAGCACTCACACTGTGATATAAACAATGAGAGATCAATCGGCACTCACTGCCTGATATGAACAATGTGAGACCTATCGGCACTCACACTGTGATATGAACAATGTGAGACCAATCGGCACTAACTGGGTGATATGAACAATGTGAGACCAATTGGCACTCACTGGGTGATATGAACAATGTGAGACCAATTGGCACTCACTGGCTGATATGAACAATGATAGACCAGTCAGCACTAAGTGGGTGACATGAACAATGAGAGAGTAATCGGTACTCACTGGCTGATATGAACAATGTGAGACCTACCGGCACTCACACTGTGATATGAACAATGTGAGAAAAATCGGCACTCAAACTGTGATATGAACAATGTGAGACCAATCAGCACTCACTGGGTGATAGGAACGATCAGAGACCAATCGGCACTAAGTGGGTGATATGAACGATCAGAGACCAATCGGCACTAAGTGGGTGATATGAACAATGTGAGACCGATCGGCAATCACTGGGTGATATGAACAATCTGAGACCAATCGGCACTCACTGGGTGATATGAACAATGAGAGACCAATCGGCACTCACACTGTGATATGAACAATGTGAGACCAATCGGCACTCACACTGTGATATGAACAATGAGAGACCAATCGGCACTTACACTGTGATATGAACAATGAGAGACCAATCGGCACTCACTGGGTGATATGAACAATGTGAGACCAATCGGCACTCATACTGTGATATGAACATTGTGAGACCAATCGGCACTTACTGGGTGATATGAGCAATGTGAGACCAATCGGCACTCACACTGTGATATGAACAATGTGAGACCAATCGGCACTTACAGTGTGATATGAACAATGAGAGACCAATCGGCACTCACTGAGTGATATGAACAATGAGAGACCAATCAGTACTCACTGGTTGATATGAACAATGTGAGACCAATCGGCACTCACACTGTGATATGAACAATGAGAGATCAATCGGCACTCACTGGCTGATATGAACAATATGAGACCAATCGGCACTCACACTGTGATATGAACAATGTGAGACCAATCGGCACTCACTGGGTGATATAAACAATGAGAGAACAGTCGGCACTCACTGGGTGATATGAACAATGAGAGACCAATCAGCACTCACTGGGTGATATTAACAATGAGAGACCAATCAGCACTAAGTGGGTGATATGAACAATGTTAGACCAATCGGCACTCACACTGTTATATGAACAATGTTAGACCAATCGACACTCACTGGCTGATACGAGCACTGTCACGCCTGCCATCTTCACTTCCATAACTTTCCCTGGTATCTGTTTTAGGCCAGTCTTGTGTGACTTCAATTATTATTCTGTGCTATCATTTTTTGTCAATAAGAACGAGAAACATTATTGTCAAATGTTATATAAATACTATTCTGTTATACAGAAGTGAATCACGACCAGTTGGTCAATTAGTTGACAATGACTAAGAAGCGGCGAAGATGTCTTTTTCTAAACCTATGAGCAGAATACTATGGGTAGATAACAATACATTATCATCACCAGATGCCGACTGGCGATGGCAATCATGCCTCTCCACAATCTGCGATCTCCTGCAGCATGTGTCAGTCTGAATGCTGACACACCTCCATGCCATGCAACAAGACTGTCAGGAATCTTCTCTCGTTTTCTTCCTCTATCCCTCCTTCCACAGATCTTTCCAGTGGTCACAACATGTTATATTTTCCGTCTTCTCAAAACATGGCCGATAAATGATAACTCTCTCCTTCTGTTGTCTGTGATGAGTTGTTGTCGGGTTTCCGCCTCTTTCAAAACCTCTTGGTTGCTCTTTTTGCTGTCCAATGTATATATTAAAATATTGACGAAACTGACTAATAGAACTGATTGCCAACATAAGGAGAAGACAATCTACTGTTTTCGTCATATCATGAGAAGGAGAAAAACTGAAAAACATCGCGAGAGAAGGAAAAGATGCAAAGGAAGACCCAGAGAAAAGATACAGGTTAATTTAACATCTTGGCATGGAGGATCAGAACTGACTGAAAGTACACGAGACAGAAGTGTGTGGGTAGACATGACTTCAACAGCTACACAGCATGGACTTTAGGAAGAATAAAGCTATGTCTTTATTTACTGCCTATAGCAGCATTTGTTAGTTGTGGTGACGAACAATGGGAACTTCAGCCATGGGATCAATGGTTGTGTGCCTAGTGCAGTGAGCCTGGACTGTGCAGGTTCATTATCCTCACCATCCCGTAACACTGCATGTCGTTGAGTCACCAGGAGCTGTTGACTGCCTGAACAATTCACTCTACCTTTGATGGTCGCTTGCTATGGACTTCATGGTTGCATGCCTAGGGCCTGCCCAGTCAGTCAAGTTCCGTGTATATATATTTCTTAGCCTGCCCCCTCTTCGCTTCCCTTCAACTGAACATTGTAGTTTAGCAATCATTAGTTGTAGGTTGAAATGTTAATTTTTGCCTCCGACATAAAAAAAAAAAAAAAAAAAGTTAGCCGAGGATTCAAACACAAGTGTCCCGCATGAGAGCACCGAGTTTTAACAATTCACTCAGTCACTTCTCAGCTCAGACGTGTCCCACTGATCAATTTTCCGAATAATGTGTCTGAAATAAATTATACATTTGCTTGTTCTATGTCAAAGCAAAGTTATTTCAAAATGTACGTTAAAGATTATTGTAACAATGTTGTGAAGAAGCAAGCGTCGAGTTAAAGTCGAGACGATCGAATGTATTGTACCTGGTCTTATCAAACAAGCTCGGTCTCTCTGCCCAGAAAGGCTAGTCGCCTGCCGAGAGCATTGTACAGAGCACGAACTCCGCAACTACAGCAACGATCCCCATGGAAATCCGTAAAATGTGCACTCTTAAACTGAACGACAAATCCGAGAAACAAACAAACGACCTTCAGAGCTCGTGGTAAACGGCTTGACCACACTGCCATGAATACTCCAGTGAGAGGGAGGGCTGATGGACGTCGCGGTTTTTGAAAGACGAACAATCAGGAACGACAAACACGGCGGACGACACAAGATACTGACAACGCCCAGAACGTGGATTTTCACAAGGCAGGAAAATTATCCAAGCATCGAATCCCGTCCCCAAGCTTTGTATAGACTGTTGTTTAGCGAAAGACTTTGCTTCATCGGTGATAACACCTCAAACAGAATACACTGTTTACGCCTGCTATTGAATCCTGGAAGAGATTCGCATCACTATCAAGTGCCTTGCCTCTCCACAATGTGCTATTTACGACAGCATCGTCTGCTGACACCTTTTCATGCCATGAAAAAAGGCTGTCAAGAATCGTCTCGCGCTGTCTTCTGCTGCCTCTTTTTTCTAACATATTTTCCCAGTTGTCAAAGCTTCTTCCAAAATTGTTTTCTTTGTGTGATGACCAGAAGATGACTGTCTGTGATAAATTTGTGATATTTGTGATAAATTGCCTTCAAGCTCCCGATTCGCTCAAATCGGGATCACTCATTTTGGCTGTCTTCTGTAAAACCACATTTCCGAGGCTTCAATAAACTGTAAGTCTTGTTCATTAATTTTCAGGGAATTCATAGCCAAATTTTTAAACTGGCTCTCTATAGCTTGTGAGAATTCTGTTTTTAGCTTCCATGGATTCATTTTTAGTAAATGTTATTTGCTTTTAAAAATGCAGTTTTAATTTGTAATGTTCTATTTTTTATCTCTGGATGTTATCTAGATGACTAGATATGTAAATGCCTATGCTTGTCATAAAACTATCGATCACCCTATTTACTCTGATAGCACTGATACACCCACCTACTATGATAGCACTGAAATACCCCACCTACTATGAAAGCACCGGTACACCCACCTACTATGATAGCACTGATACACCCCACCAACAATGATAGCACTGATACACCTCAACTTCTATGACAGCACTGATACACCCCACCTACTATGAGAGCACTGATACACCCCACCTACTATTAGAGCACTGATGCACCTCACCTCATATGAGAGCACTGATAAATCAACCTACTTTTAGAGCACTGATACACCCCACCTACTATGAGAGCACTGATACACCCCAACTCATATGAGAGCACTCATACAGCCCACCTACTATGACAGCACTGATACACCCTACCTAATATAAAAGCACTGATACACCCAACCTTCTATGAGAGCACTGATACACCCAACCTTCTATGATAGCACTGATACACCCAACCTACTATATGAGTACTGATACATCCCACCAACTATGAGAGCCCTGTTACACCCCACCTACTATTAAAGCTCCAGCACCCTTCCACCTACGACAAAAGCACGTATCACATCCCACCCTACTACCTGCAACAACATTCGTAGTAAGATAGCACCTACACCACACCATCTACAGCACCCTAACTACTGCACCCGACCCAAGTCCCCCCTATACCACACCGCCCAGACAATTCCACCCACTACTCCATCTACAATAAAAGCACAAACATAGTCAAATCTACCACAAAAGCGAAAATACCACCACACCTACCATGAAATCATTCACACCAATCACCCTTTTACCATATAAGCACCTACAGTATCCCATCTCTTATGAAAGCATATACAACACCTCACCTTTTACGAATGCATATGCACCACCCAACTGTCTGTACAAGCGCCTACACTATCCTTCGGTGCCATATATGGAACCCAGATCTCTGTCAGTTATGTTGCTTAACTAAGTGAAAACAGTTTCGTCTACACTGTATTCTCCAAATGTTTTCTTCCAACCTCTAGGCGCGTCTTCTGTTTTTTTTACTTCGTGTATTCATTTTAAGAGAACACATATTTGACATGAATGTGGTAGCTTACCTCCTGGCATGAAACATGTAACCAAATAGGAGAATGGCGCCAAGTATGCCCACTACGATCTGCACGTACAAGATGGCCCTCCGGATGGACACGTCGTACTCGATGTCGTGCACCGAAGTTTTCGAGTCTTTGTCTGGTCTCGTGTGGTTGCTCACGGCAGAGACGTTGTAGAGACTTTCCCACAAGGTGTTGTTGGAACCAAAGAGCATCATGCTTGGGTTCACCGAGCTGTAGGCACTGGGCATGACCGTCTGCCAGGGGATCATGACGTCACTGTAGTGATGGATGCTCTGGTAGGGACTCGTCATGTCGGCTGCTGGGTCTCACCTGTAAACAGATCACCATGGTTACTAGATGTGTACACTACAAAAGCAAAAATGACAACAGATAAGAGATGACAAACAGATACAGCGGAATAAGAACAATTTCACACAAATATTTCATCATCATTGCACCCTCTTGGAAGACGCTGAGGGTCAAGGTTATCCATTTTTCGCTCTTTCTTCTAGACATCTAAATACTTATTCATTTTCGACCTCCTGATCTTTTACTGTATTAAATCTCCTTTCGTTTAGTCAGGCAAATGTACAGTCACATCACTACAGCGTCTCTGAGTCAGGCCTGTCATCATCTTCATTATAATCGCAGGCCCTGCTAACTGGCGTAGGTGCTCAAGCATCTCCTCAGATCACGATCCCTGGTTGCCTGGAAAAGCTCTCTCGATAATATCCGTCCACGCCATTGTTTCAGCCTTTCACTGATCTTTCCAGTTGTCATGATGTTTTCCAATACTTCTCTTCTCATTACGTGACCAAAAATAGTGTTTGTCTCCTTCCTAATGTTGTATGTAGAGATCTACTTTCTTTAGCTTCTTTCAAACGATCGTAATTAGTTACTCTGGCTGTCGAAAGTATTCTTAATATTCGTTTCAAAAACCAGACTGTGTTTCTTCAGGCCTGTACATAGAAAATATTCAAAAAACTCACAATAATATGAATAAAGTAGGCGGTACTTTTGATTTGCTAGCGGAGGTTGTTTTACCGTTGAGCTGCAGAGTGCGCTAGGCTTGACTTAGAAATTAGAAAAATAATTTGTGAAAAGTATAGAATATTTTTATTGTGGTATTGTCAAAGATCTTGTCCGTGTGGGTTCCGGGTTCACGCTGTAGAGGAAAACGTGAACAGTTTCACTGTCTCCACAACCAAGCATGTCACAAGAGTCGCATATGTAACGGTTTCTTTCGAAGTAGAATCACATCTATCCGAAACGCAATGGATTAACAGTCTTTGTATAAAGACTCTCTATTTGTCAAACGGATCTGCACATGAAAAACATCTAAAGAACAGAAGTCAACAAACAACCAGAAATGTAACAATAGTTTGCAACTGATGAACGCAAAGAAACTAAAGAAAAAGATCCCACCAAAAATGTAATTTTAGCTAGTTAATATATTAAGTACGTATTTTTGTTAACAAGTGTGTCAAGATGACATTTGAAGGTTTGATATCTATCAATGATAAGATACACAAAGTGCGTCCTATTGACACTTTCCACTATCATCTCGCTAACGGATTCTATGAGACGTCAGTGTTCACTAACCTTTATTTACACTACACACTTGGGCATGAGCTTGAAAGGTAGCAGCACTTGCAAGGGCAGAGAAAGGGAGGCAGACTAGAAAGAATCGTATTGCTGATCCCACACTTACTGAGGCTTCCACCTGTTGTCCGCCCTGCTCAAGAACTTTCCAGGCTCATATTGGACAAATAAGTCTTCTTCAATGATCATTACTTCTTTGGATATAAAGTGGTCTTTATAACCCGTCATGGACAAACAACAAACACTCTACGGATTAGTAACCGTACACTCACTAGCTTGACGTAACCAACGTGAGCTTATAGACAGACAATAAGTTTCGGACCTTTTTTCAGGTGGGACCCCCTTGATAATATGGCAAGATTTCCCAAGTTGCACCCCCACACCCTCCATCCCTTTTTTTTTTTTTTTTTTGTTAAACTTTACATACAAACAAACGAACGAACGAAGAAAGTTTATATTTAAAGGGTTAAGAACTGGGTTCTCAGGCCCGTCTAAAAGTCTGCCCTTCGAGGTCTCCCTCCATCCCAGGCACATTTAACAAGAATTTGGAGAAAAGATCTTCATTAAAAAAAATGGTCAAATAACAAAAGACACAATCACCAACAACTGATAATTTAGTGTCCACATGATCACTGTGATTGTTGACACTGTTTTATCTTGATATGTGCCTTTTTTGGGGGCCTGGATTTGGGCTGGGCACAGAGAATATCACTCTCCACGTCAAGCTGCCAACGTCTTTTTGTTTTCATGATTGTTAAAGCAGAAACTCCGGATTAGGAAGGAGTACGCATGAACTCCGTTTCAAATTAATTCACACCCCCTTTGAGATTTTCTTTCGGCCCCCATGGGGCTAGGGGAGAGGGAGGGAAGGGGGAGGGGGTCCACGTCTCATAGATTGAAGACCACTGGTCCAGACAACTGCAGTTAGAGTTTTAAAAATGTCTGTATTCTGTCTCTTGTCTGCCTCTGTTCTTCTCTATGATATCAGTTATTGAAAGAAAACAAAGATACCCGATTATTCATCTTTTTTTAATAAAATGATATATCGATGCAGCACGTCTAGCTGACGACCTCATTTAGCTAGGTGTCAGTCACTAGACCATCAAAAATAAGAACAGGAAACCTTTTGGTGGATCGAAAAATAATCTAGGACACCTCAGCACGATCATAAAAAGGAAGGCAATGACATTCACAAAGCTATTTGACAGTAATTTTTCCGATTGTAGGAATCACAGGTATTTACGTCTTTAGGATTTGTAACAGAGTAATTAGAAAATATGATATTATCATCCACCAATGCAAATGTACAAGGAGGTGATTAAAGAAAAATCAAATTAGAACAAAAAAAAAAAAAAGACAAATTTTGGAACAAAGAAAAAGAGCTGTCGCGTGCGAATGTGCACCAGAACGCACCGGTACGGAGTGAGCAAATAAGACGTCAAAACAATACGTAACGTTGTTATGATAATATTGTTGTCTGGGCAGTTGATGTTTATAGTCCGAAGGAGACGGACGTGGGAATCCTTGAGGACGCCTTACCCCGGGATCCCACGGAAGCAAACGTTATATAAAGTTGGATCCTTGAGGACGTTTTACCCCGGGACTCCAAGACCTCAGCAGGAAGCTGGTGAGCACTACATTTTCGGCAGTATGCCGGTATACTTTCATTGCTTAATTCGGACTTGTCCGAGGAGAAAGTAAATCGTCTGGATCTCAAGGTCGGACTGCAACCTATCGTGAGGACATATCATTACATGGATGTACGAGCGAGCTTTGGTTGAACGAGTTGATTATTACGTGCATATGAATTCTTGAAATTGATCATTGCATTTGTCAATACACAAATGGAACTTTGAAAGAGAGTTCTTGTTCTACTACGTTGGAAGCTTCACTTCAGCATTCATCATGTTCTGTTACTCTTGGCCAGTGGTATGTTAAGTGTTGATGCCACTTGTTAACTTGCGACACCCCTAGTCACTTTTACACTCGTTACAAAGAAGCTCCCGCACGTCACAATGGGGGCCAGCCTTTAAAGAATGAGGAACCTCTCGTCACAAGTGTGATACGACATTTTGTCGCATTGTTATTGTTTGCCTCAAGTTGTACACGAAGCACATTCCAGTTGTCACAGTCTTAACATATCTCTAGCTGTGGATATCGTTCAATGTATCAAGTCGCCGCCGCCGCCGGTCTGTTCTAGCCATCGTTGGATCTTTATCTGGACTTTATCAATCACTCTTCGTTGGATCTATGTGCCACTCTTCGTTGGATCTTCATCGGGACCGTATCATTCTTCGTTGGATCTCCGTATCACTCTTCGCTGGATCTTCATCACAATCAAGTCACCGTTACCGTCTGTGCCACTCTCCGTTGGATTGGATCGGATCAAGTCGTCCTTTTGGTTGTACATTGATCTGCTACTTGCCGTTGTACCGGTCGTTATTTAGCGATTTTTCATCGCTAACATTGCAGTGTGTTGTTTGTCTGCCACCCAATTGGTAAGTCAATTGTGGTTTTGTGGTTTCTGTTGCGCTGACAATTTTAACTCTTTCCTCCAGAGAACAGACCTGGTTTTCCCGTGCGCAAGTGGAGAGCGACATTAATTGTTACGTGTTATCAAGTAAGCGGGAGGTTGGGCGGTGAGAGCCTTATTCGATATTTCAACTAGCTCACCACTAGAGTGTCATATCGTCTTTGGCTCTGTCTGTAGCCAACTTCAACCCTCGGAGTGGTCCCCATTATAACAGGGAGATAGTTTATCTATTCGCGACTCAGTGGATTGATTTAGGCTAAAGTGTCTTAGTCCGGTCTCGTCACGTCCTGTACGTTTAGTTTGTAATAGTGCTACCTGGTGTTCTTTCGACGATTGTCCCTTCTCTATTTGTTAGTTCCATTGGTGTATTTGTGGAGTCATTTTTTTAATTATCGTCTGTCAGACTCGTCGCATTGTACGTGTGTGACAGTACGCAGTATTCGTTGTCCTGTGGCGTCACTTCACCACACACTATCATATATATATCATATATTGTATATTGATTGTCATATTACTTAAATATGTCTACATTTGCTGAGTTTTTGGAGTTAGGTCGAAGTATAGGCCTAGAAAATGGACAACTCTTAGCTTTCGCCGAAGCCAGAATGAAAGAGTTGTCGGACAGAGATAACCAGTTACGCGATGAGAGAACAGCGGAACGCGCCTGGAAAAAAGAAATGGAGTTGGAGAAATTACGCATGGAAAAAGAAGCTGAGGCTGAGAAACTACGCTGGGAAAAAGAAGCTATGGCGGAAAGACTGCGTTTCGAAATGGAAACTAATTTGGAAAGGTTACGTTTGGAGAACGGATTAGAACTAGCGCGTATAGATAGAGACAAGGTTGTTGCTGTGTCAGAATCAGAGAGCCGTCGTCTTGTGTCTAGTAGCCGTTCGGGTTCCGAACAAGGGGCATGTGTATACATACCCAAATTGCCGTTTCTTACACCTACAGAAGATCTTCATAATTTTTTGGATCGCTTCTCTTTAGCGATGAATACCGCTAAGATACCAGAGGAACAATGGGTGTCTCGTTTAAGGGATTTGCTAACGGGACCAGTTTTGAACACGTTCACGAACTTATCAGAAGACGAACGCGCGTCGTTCGAAATAGTCAAACAAAAACTGTTGGCGTCGAAATGCATGACTGAAGAAGGTTACCGTGTGCAGTTTAAATCTG